TGGTTGAAGTTGATTCTTTTTTTTCCCTTTTCTTTTTTTCTATAAACAGTGTTTATTTCTATACGAAGTCACTTACTCCCTTTTTTTTTTTTATTAATCTTTTTCAAAAAAAAAATTATTAGATTATTGGGGTAGCTTTGATTAGCCCACTAATGGAAGAGTGCAATGAGCATACTTTAAGGAAAAAGTTTATGTGACTGATTTCAAGGGAATAATTCTCTGTAAAACCCACTTATTTAAAGTACCAAATTTCAAAGCATAACAATACGACGCCAGACAACCACTGTTCTTGGTAAAACTTTTTTATTTATTTGCAAAATAGTCTTGATTTTAGCCACTTTTCATATCAAATTGAAGTTGTGTTGTCCAAATCATGACAATTGCTTCACATTTCTTAACAAACAACATTAATTTGTATAAACCTAAAAGTAGAAATAATGTTGGCTTTTAGCGAAAAGATTCTGGTATTTAAAATCGATAAAAATGGTGTTTAAGATTGTCCATTGTCAATCATTTTGATCATTTTATGAAAAATCTCCTTTAAGTTGAACAAAAAACCACAAGTTCAAGTTGAAGAGTTGACTTGATAAACCTGCCCTCAATTTAGCGGATATTTTTCATGGAATGACCAAAATAATTGACAGTAGACAATCTCATTGACCACTTTTATCGATTTTAAATTGCAGAGACCAAAGTGAGGAGGTATGCCAATTTTAGGGACCAGTTTGGCCAGAAAGCCAAATAATGTTTAAAACTAAGTAAAGCTAGAGCACACCTATAAATGGAAGATCTTAAATAGAGAGTATCCTCGCTGGATTCTCTTTGTGAGAATCTCAAGGACCCTCCAATAACATTCATTCATCGTCCATCGTACGGCCATTTTTTGTCAGGTATTATTTATATTCAATTTAAAAAAAAAATTACAATCATTTATGACCGCACGATGTACGATGAACGGATATGATTTGAGGATCCCAAGATCCTCACAAAGAAGATCTGGCGAGGATCCTCTTTCGATCTTAAACATCCTTTCATCACACGATATACGCACTAAGTAATGCTTATGATTCTGTGTTAGTGTTTTTAGCGCTTTGGTCGTGTTTATATTTTAAACTATGTTGTTTAAGAATTTTGTTTTGAACAATCCTTTAAATTCTCAAAAAATAAACTCGTAATGCTTAATCCTCAAATCCAACGAGGACAAATATGTCCTCTTGGACATGTTTACTATGAGGAAAAAGAATTTAAAAATAAATAAAGGGGGAAATAAGAAATAAAGATGATCTTATTTCTTTACAAACTTATTAAAGTGGTCTCTCTTATAGAAGTAGGTAGGATTTGGATGTGGGCGTATTATATTCCATATTTTAATCTCGAGATTCTCTACCAAAACAAGTTTACAATAAATAAAGATAATTCATTATTTCTTATGTTTTGCTTGTTTGAAAAACTAGAAGCGAAGCCAAGACTATGTTGGCTATATATTGAAAACGATAATTTTGCCTGCATCATCACTCATCACATCTCCAACTCGAACCAATACTTTATACATTATATAATAAGTCAGACAAAACGAGAGTGACATTTCACACAAAAACAAAATTTATTAACATGTTATTGACAATGGACTTAAGAGCAAACGACTCTCAAAAAAGAAGAGATAGAAACTTACACGTCCTATCTTTATAAGAAATAGAAACTTGCATGTAAAGGGTGCTATACTTTCCTTCCTGCAACATTTTTTACTATGTGAGGAAGGTCGGTATATTCATTTTTGCGTTAGAGCCTTAAAGGTAATTGAACTTAAAGCCTATCATAATGCTAAAAGCATTAACTTAATCTCGCTCACTTTTTAACCTACCCTAGACTTGTTGCTAATAACTAATTATGTTTGTTATCATATTCGTTCTTTTTGATGACATGAAAGTATCCATTTGGTGCCCAGCTCTCAAGGATATATTCGACCAGCACAAGCTTCTCGCTTACGTCTAAGGCTTTAAACCCTGTAATCACGGGCGGAGCTACCCACAAGGCTAAGGCGGACTGTAGCTCAGGGAAGTTTTTTTATAAGTGTAGTGTTATCTACACACTCATTTTTCTTTCTCACACATTTCTCTCAGTTTTCAACCTTCGGATTGAATGAATTGATGACGATCAATGACAAAAAATTAATACGGGTGTGTGAATTGACCATCCTTTTTTCAAACTCATGCTTTAATGATTTATGTTAATGCATGTAGCCTATATAGCTCACTCATTCCAATACAGGTTATTATTTCATGTATATTTAGTAGAGGATAGGTAATAAATAATACTTTTTATGCTACAAGTAATAAACTAGTTCTATCTTCCCTCCCTCTTCTATCCTATTCGTTAAAGAAAAACACCATTTACCCTATGCGATTTAACCTCCGTACTTCTTAGTCAAGAAAAGAAAAATAATTTTCTTTTAGTTCACAATTAAATTCCTATCTCCGCAATTCCTTACTTTTCGTTGCAATTTTCCAATGAATGCAACCTTTGATACGTTCTTAATCACTTTATTTATTTATTCTTGGTTTATTTAGCAAGTTAATTATTTATATGGTCCTTGAAGTTGTCAATTAGGGTTATGATTTCAAGAATTATTTATATTTTATTGTTGTTCTTTTATATTGATTAAAAAAAATAAATATATAGTCTTGTGGTACTAATTTCAGGTAACCCATCCAAAAAAAAAATCCTGACTCTGCCATGCTCCAATTGAACCTAATATCACACATATAGTGATTTTACACTCTATTATGATCATCTTTGTCCGAAAATGACATTTAAAATGAAGAAAAACTTATCATAATCAACTACATGTCAGGGCCAGTTGTGATTCGCAACCTAAGACCTAATAAGCCAGTCAATCGAGATCAACATCTCCTTATAGACATAAATGGATGGATACATTCGGTGACACAGTAGAATTTTTCTCCGCGATAAGAGAATTTCTATTTTTTCTTATTAATCGATAAAATGAATTTTTTATTTTAGATTAATAAAATAAATGATAAAAGAAATGATAAAAGAAATGAATCATTAAAAAAAATGTAAACGAGGCATAACATTGTTTTTACCTAAGATTCTAAAAAATACTAGGCGCTAGTCGAGCAGCAGGCATGAGCCTTCTGCCTAAGCATATTTATGTAAATTTATATATCTTGTAACTAAGTGCATATTTACACCTAAAAAAACCTTACTTGTATGGATAATAAAGGATTGATAAAATACAAAAATAGAAGTAGAAGAATACACAAAGTATATACATCCATAAAGTTCAATATTTAAAAAACAGTAAGCATATAATCATAATGAGGAGGATTCTTGGATGATAGACTAAATTCTTCTTATTCATGATCTTTGCATTGGATTGGATATAGACTAAATTATTTAACCTTGTTGTATCTAGTTTATTTCTTTTCTTTGTGGGGGTGTTTGTTTGCCCTCACTAACTCGGACTGGACTGGACTGGACTAGCTATTAGTCCAATACTGTGTTTGTTCCATGCTGGGACTAACATTAATGAGACTAAAGGGGACTAGCATGGACAAAACCCTTCACTAAGAGGTCTTAGTGAGACCCCCCAATAACCATGGGACTAGCTAAGACTATCCTCTATTTCTCGTCCTTGTCATGCTCAACGACCACTCTCGACAGACTTCTCGTCATCGCCGATCACCTAGATCAATCATTAACTTCCCGACTCTCTTTCAGATCCATTTCACAACCAACTTTCATATAAAATATACCAAATTGAAGCTGGGAGTGACAAGATTACGATTTTACTTGAATCAAGGCCAAAATGTGGTCGAATGTGGCCGGAAAATGGCCTGGAAATCTCGGCCTGTTTGGGCTTCTTCAAATCCATGACAAATTCGAGCATGCAAAGCTAAGATCTCGGTCCAGGGATGGTGATGAATTTTTTGGCGGTGCTAACTTCATCCAATTTAATGAGGGTTGGCCAAAAAACACATCGGGAAACCTGCAACTCATCGGGAAAATTGGAGACGTGAGGTTCCGTTCGAACAATGCATAGCTAGAGAGGGAGGGAGGACAGAGAAATAGAGACTGGAATCAATAAGGAGTTTGACCAGGAATGAGAAAAAGACATGAATTGAGAGGTCTGAGAGGAAAAAAAGAGGAAGAGGGTGGGACGATGAGAGAAGAGGAAAAGAGTGGGACGGAAATGGTAGGAAAAGATGGAGAAAAAAATAAGATCATAATAAAATATTAATAATTTATATATTAAATAAAATAATATTAGAATTTGTTATTATCCAGCTTCTTAGTCCAATATTGCATCAAACGCTTCACTAAGTTAGTCCAGTTTAGTCTAGTCTAAGCCAGTCCAGCTTAGTCCTTGAAGCTAATCCAGTCCGAGATAGTCCGGCGCAACAAACGCCCCCTGTATGTATCCCTTCAAAAGTGCTCCAATTCATTTCACTATTGGATGAACTTGTAGTAAATCCATCATTTGCAAATTAGGCACACCATTTCCATAAGTATACCACCATGAAACCAAACAAGAAAAAAAAACACACAATTAATAATAATAATAAAAAAAACCTCCTAGGAGCCTCCTAGGACTGCCTAGCCCGTCTAGGCTTGCCTAGCTCCAGACCGATTTTTCAAAACAATTTGCACTAAATCGCGGCGGGTCTTCATTGCCTAGAGCCTAAGGGCCACTTAGACCGATTTTTAGAACACTGTTTTTACCTATGTCCAGGGATTGAAGTAAAAATTATCTAAATTAAATTGGGCCTGGATCCAGTACTTTTAATCATTGTTGAGTCAAGTTGGCCCAAAGGCACTTTGTTTGGGCCATGGGCTGATCTACTGAAGCACTCAAGGCGCAAAGCAAAAGCCGAACGTGTCCATTTGTTGGCCAGAAAAACCTAAAACGATAGGGGTACTTACGTCATTCCATTATCGCGATATAGAAACGTTTAGAATCATCACACGGAAGAAAAAGCGTGCAAGTACGCTTGTGGTATTAAATAATTGTCAAATGGAGTCACAAACTTTTTGTGCAATCTCAATCTTGCCCTCGGGAAATCCAATTTTGTCCTCGGCCTCCTTCGCTCCACCTCCTCCACCACGCTTCGTCCCTCGGATCCACCGGAAGCCGTGCACTCTCGTATCCGGCGCCCACAGAAGAACTCGCCTCCGACGCAGAGCCCGCCGGAAGCTTCCTCCCGAGAACGACATGTCAGTCGCCGTCCCGATGCCATCGTCCCCTCGCCGGCTCGACTTGGACCACGAGTCGTTCCTCGATTCCAGGATTAGTATGTCTCTCTATTTCCGTTTATTGAAACGTTACAATAATTATTCAGCAGTCAAAGTGTAACTATGAATATCTAAGCAAGCTTTTACAATTGGGTTTTAGCAAAATGTGATAAAGGTTGAAGCTTTACTTAGTTTTGGTTCAATGCGATAAGGTGCAGGAGAAAGGGATGTGTTGATAACTGATAGGGAAAAAGAGGAAAGCATGCCTTCTCCAAGCAAGACCAAACATAGAACGAGCACTGTGAAATTTTTTGGGGTCGAATTGTGCCCTGACAATGTGGCTGTTGCCATGGTGTATTTTGTACAAGGTGTTCTAGGCCTTGCAAGGCTTGCTGTCAGTTTTTATTTAAAAGACGATTTGCATCTCGACCCGGCTGAGGTACATTTACATTCACATTTTTTCGTTGTTTTTCTGGACTGGTTTGCTTTACATTTTCGTAGCTGTAGTTGTTAAAAGTGGCATGCTTGATTAACTGTGAGCTTAAATTGATGTTGTTGTGCACTGATTGGTAAAGAATTTTACTTTGAGGATTCCGAATAGTATGAAAAAGGTGTTAACAGGGTTACGGATAATGGGATTCTAGCTTTGAATTACTAATGTGAGGGCACATATTGTTTTTTCTTTGATAGTTGTGAATTGCTTGTCTTTGGTGTTTGTAGTCTTGGTTTCTGACAAATTTATATGTGTTTGACTAGACAGCTGTGATTACCGGTTTTTCTGCGTTGCCATGGCTGATCAAACCTATATACGGTTTTGTTAGGTGTGAGTCTATTTGCCATGTCTATTTGGTATCTCTCAGTTACTGTATTCCGCTATTGTTGTTTGTGAACAGTTTTTTTGGGTCCTTGCAGCGATTCTGTGCCACTATTTGGTTACCGAAGAAGGTCATACTTGATTTTGTCAGGGCTTCTTGGTGCAGTGTCATGGAGTTTGATGGCCACTGTTGTTGATAACAAATTCAGTGTTGCTTTCTGCATAATTCTTGGATCTCTATCTGTTGCCTTTTCAGATGTGGTAAGTATCTATTAGTTATTCTGTTTGAATGGTATGGAAGGTATATCTTGTTACGTGTCACAATATGTGCCTAACTTAGGTTTCAGCCAGAATATGAAGTTGACTTGGTTCTCAGCTAGAATTTGATTTAGATCATTTATTTAGATTGTTTTCGACATGGAAAATCCTCTTAAAAAAATAAATTTGTTATGAATTAAAGTGTATCTCAACACCGTATATGATTCAAGCGATGAGATGTGTTTACTTAAATAGTTAATTTTGAACTTATCAGATCAAATATATAATACATATAGAGATATTACGAAATAAAAAATCAAAATGATCCCTAAGAGAGTTTATATGGGGAAGTTCTGATCCTCAGTTCTCTCCTTTTGAGATTACAAATAAGAGAACATTGAAAAATTGGAGGGGAAAAGCCCTAAAATGATTCCAGAGGAAGAAAGAGTCAAGACTCACGAGTGTCTGGTTTAATTTTAGGGAAAAACTTAAGCCTACTTGTTTGCATTATTTAGAAAGGTTCAGCTTAAGAATCCAGATCCTCTGGTATGAAACGATGAATTGCCTCCTTTTTTGTTCAGTTTCTTCGTTCTGTAACATACTTTGTAAACCATGTCAAAACTAAGTATGTTTTAGGTTGTAGATTCCATGGTTGTGGAGAGGGCTCGTGGTGAGTCACAAAGCATGTCAGGTTCTCTTCAGTCTTTGTGTTGGGGATCTTCTGCTTTTGGTGGAATCGTGAGTTCCTATTTTAGCGGCTCCTTGGTGGATGCTTACGGTGTAAGGTACACAAAGTTTGCTGTTCAGAATGTAGGGTCCTATTGCTGATAATCATCTGATGTGGTCTTTTGTTTGTTTTTCAAATTGTTGATGTTTCAGGTTTGTTTTTGGTCTCACGGCTTTGCTGCCACTGATGACATCTGCAGTTTCTATTCTTGTGAATGAGCAGCCTGTGATTGGTGCCTCGAAGGGGCCAAATTTTCCTCTGGCTGGTCATAACTTGCTTGATAGCTGGAAAAAGAATGTTCTTCAGTTATGGGATGCTGTTAGGCAACCCAATGTATTTTTTCCCACGTTATTTATTTTCCTGTGGCAGGCAACCCCTCACTCAGAGTCTGCAATGTTTTACTTCACGTACGTGCAATTTATGAGCATGATCATTATCCTTTACTTTGTAAAAGCTACAGGTGTACATGGCCGCTTTCAATTTGTTTCAGTAAATGTTTCCAATCTTAACTAGGGCTTTTCTATTTCCTTGGTTTTCAGCACAAATAAACTTGGTTTTACCCCAGAGTTCTTAGGACGTGTCAAGCTTGTTACCTCTGTGGCATCATTGCTTGGGGTTGGACTGTATAATGGATTTTTGAAAACTGTTCCATTGCGGAAGACTTTTGTAGTAACAACTGTTTTTGGTTCAGCTATTGGGTTGACTCAGGTTTGTGATACGACTTATTTTCTTAAGGCTCCCTGACTTAACTGTGTCAAAAGAAATTCATCTGTAATTATTATTGATCTTATGTTTCAGGTTCTCCTTGTTACTGGATTAAACAGAAAATTCGGGATAAGCGATGAGTGGTTTTCAATTGGGGATTCTTTGGTCATAACAGTTCTCAGTCAGGTACACTATTAAAACTGGTGTATTACTATTGATTGCTGTACCCTGTAATTTGTTAAAAGAATGTAGTTCCCTTGGATGCATGCATTCTGAGTGTGCTTTGAAAATTTAGTCAAATGCAGCTTCAAACCTTTCTTAGAAATAGATAAACCGATAAATTTAACTGATGTAATTACTCTTCGAAAAACTAAGCTCGCAACTTCTATTCATGGTTCTGTTGTCGTAACAATGTTTCGTTTTTGATATTTCGAATCTAATTGTACCACATGCATGACAGGAAATATATCTATTGCTTGTGCACAGAACTGATTCTGTGGACGGCTGTACCGCAAAACTAAATCCTAATTTTCGTTGCAGGCTTCTTTCATGCCTGTTCTTGTGCTGGCTGCTAGATTATGCCCGGAGGGAGTGGAAGCAACACTTTTCGCAACCCTCATGTCCATTTCAAATGCTGGGAGTGTTCTTGGGGGGCTGATGGGTGCTGGTCTGACCCAACTCTTGGGTGTAACCAAGGACCAATATGATAACTTGTCCCTTTTGATCATCATCTGCAATCTCAGCTCCTTGTTGCCTTTACCACTCCTTGGCCTCCTTCCGCGGGATCATCCTGATGCAAACCCGGAGGAGAGTGAATCAGATATTGAGATGAAATCTAGTTGAGTTATGGTTGTTTGGCCCTACGGTAGGGGCCCTACCTCATCCAGTCAGTGGTTTTGTTATGTACTGTGATTGCCTTGATCACAGGCAACGAAGTTTTGGGGCATTCCCCTTTGACGTGCTCCTTGATCCCTAAGCTAACTTGTAAGTTTTTACCTCGTACCGTAGCGTACACATCAACAAGAGAAAACAATTGGGTTTTGTAAATATCATATGCTATGTGTATGAAATGAACTGATAGCATCCTTGGCCTTATTTTTCTGTCATTGACTCGTTGGATTGAATAAATCAAAGAAGAATCGAGGGAATGAAAAGTCCGGTGTGTGCAAAATGGAGAAAAATGGCATGCAAAAACCATTTAAACTAATATATTATCCTAATCATGAATCATTTTTCTATTATTCACAGCAAAACTAACAGAAAACTGGGCTGTTCCTGGGATCTGGCTAATCTAGTCCTCAACTAATACTGCAGTTTAAGCCATGTGGATCTGCAGTGGTTCGAACTAATTAAACTGGACTATATCATGTTTTATGTCTGAAAAAATTGATAAATGGTAGTCCTGAGCATATTAAATCGGACAACATACCAACACATAACAGCGGACAAATTCATTTCTGGAGGGGTAAGATTTCATATGGCTAGACTAGAGTTAGTCTCAATTGTGAATACGCAATCTCAAACACCATTGTGTAGGCTCTGTTGCGCGGGAGATTTTGGCTTGCAATCGGTGACATCAGGTGGCAATAACGGAAGAATGGTTTACTATTTATAGATGACAATCATCTATGTCATCGGTGATGCCATTAAAATAATTTATTGGTTTCGAGAGAGTTTCTCTTTTGCTGCTACGAAGTAAGTTCTGTGAAATAACAACAGTGCTCTTAAGCAAAATAACATTATTCTAAAAGGTACATTATTGGTATCTTCTAAAACAACCATCATGATGAGAATAGCTTGGTGGAATGGGTTCATTGAATTCAACCAAGGAGTTCAAATCCTCTAAGTAATACAAGGTCATGCAGGAAAAGTACATAGTGATATATTATTTATTAAACATTGTAATGACGAAGAACTCGTTTAGTGTAAATTTGTACCATCATAATGGGTCACAATGATTTCAAGTCTGAATGATCTACAGTCGCAATATTATCAGATTTATTATAACACTTAAAACAAATATTTTATTGGATAATGATAGATCTGTCTGCATTTTTCAAACCTGGTTTAGAAAACACTAGCTTTTTATGTTGTCTCCATATATGAAGATAGGTACGTGTGGGCTGTTTTATTTTAATTTTACAGCATAGATATACACACACACGTATACACATGTATTTGGAAGTGACTGGTTTCGAGATTCTTCACGGCTCATGCATATCATCAGACAGCCTGGCCAGCATCCCAAAAAGTCTTCCATATGAAAGAGATATGATGATGGATTGGAGGTTTCAAATGGAAAGAGATATGATGATGAATCTCTTTTTTCAAAACTCACGGATTAAGTGATCTGAACTCTTAAAATTTGATTAAATGGTCAAAAATTATTTTAATTTTTAAAAGTTTTTACTAAGTTCTATGTTTCTCAATGATTGTGGCTGATTAAATCATTAACCATAAAAGGTCAGAAATACCAGGATATACACTAATGCACTAAAAAAAAACACCACGTCCACCATAATAATGTACTGATGATGGATTGGAGGTTTCAAATGGAAAGAGATATGATGATGGATCTCTTCCTTCAAAACTCACGAATCAAGTGATCCAGACCTTTAAAATTTAATTAAACGGCCAAAAATTATTTTAATTTTTTAAAGTTTTTACTAAGTTCTATGTTTCTCAATGATTGTGGCTGATTAAATCATTAACTATAAAAGGTCAGAAATATCAGAATATACACTAATGTGCTAAAAAAAAAAGCACCATGTCCACCATAATAATGTCCTGCATATCCCCCGCGCCCCCCCCCCCCCCCCCCCCCCCCCCCAAACAAAAACAAAAGCACGGGAAAAAAACCTAGCCGTCCATCTTTGCTTTTAAGGTTGTAGTTGGCGGCAATTTTTGTTGATCTCTTCTTTTTTCTATTTTTTCTTTTTGGTTGTAGTCTCTCTTTCCCTTTATCAAGGAGAGCCATCTGTTTATGGTTATGGTCACCTTCTTGCTTTGTCAAGAAGAGATTTTGTAGTTGTGGTCATGATCATGATTTGTTCAATCTCGAATTTTAGAGAGGTAATTGTTATCTAAATATAAGGTCGTGGTGTTTGTGGCTTGTGGGCTTGGTAAAGAACTATGAGAAAAAAACTCGATATTTGTTGGAGGGGACTCATAGCAGGACTTCTTTGCCAATAATTACGAAATCATCAGAGATTAGTGAGGTCTTTTCCTTATGGATCCTCTTGAGCATGGAATGTTTTAGTCCTCGTGACTAGGGTTTAGGACTAAGGGTCCTCCATGATTGAAGAATCATATTCTATTTTTTATGTGTTTGTAATTGTAGGTGTAGACATTGTAAAATTTGGTGAAACAAATACTCGTCAACAAATTAATGTTTTGAATTGCCAGGCTTTTGTGGCACGCACCATGTCCATGGGTTGCAATTTTTACACATAGCATGTGATTCATCAATATCGAGCGAGTCATCAAAAGTGATATGCGTCGACGTTTGGTAATATAAAACAATTACCAGATTACGTTGATGGTCGAAACAAATGCGAAATATCTTTTAAATTGACTTTGATATAAATCATGTCAATTAAATTATTTGGTTAAATTATTTGATTAAATCAAATTGGACTCCATATCAAATTCTTCCATTCGTAGGATTAATCAAGTCATTTGATTAAAGGGGTTTTATCACAAATGGTCCCTGAAATTGATCCTAACCATCAAGATGATTCCTGAAATTAAAAATCAATCGATGTAGTCCCTGAAAATAGGTGTCGTAAATCAATGTGGTCCTTCTATCACAATTATGTTAAGTGATGATGTGACACATAAATAGGCCTCACAAGATTTACAGGGTTTTCTCACAAATGGTCATTGAAATTGAAAATCAATCAATGTAGTCCTTGAAAATAGGTGTCGCCTATCAATATAATTTTTCCACCACTATTTTGCAAATAAATTTGTTATGTGCTGATGTTGATTTAATAATTAATAAAAAAAAAATTATCTAAATACCTTTTTGCACAATTAATTTTTTTCTTCTTATAGTAGGGCCTACTCCGAAGAGAGATCTCTTCCATAAATTCTCAAAGGCACAAGGCTTAACCAAAGCCTAAGAGGGGGTGTGGGAATATTTTTCAACCAACAATAGATGCACCTCGGTTATAACTTCATTATCCCAAGGCAGACCTCGCCGTTCTTTGCATCACCAGACCATAAGGGAGGCGTCGAACAAGCTCTCGAAGATTAAGGTTGTGAGGATGTTGATCACCTAAATGTTAACGGTAATGTCCCATTTGTCAATGCGCCAAGCCGTCACCAAAGGTGATCTCGATCCAAGTTTAATCCGGTAAGGGGTGTTGAAGTGTGTAAAGATGCGTGTATCGGTTTTTTTTTTTTTTAGAGAATAGAGAGCGAAAGAGGTAGAGAAATGTGGACTGGGATCAGAGGTGATTGCAGGACTGGGTTTTTGGGTTGACAATTTTTTTATTAACTATTAAATTATTAAGCCTATTTGTACTTTTTTTTTTTAAACTTAATTAGACTTGTGTCACCTATTTATGTGTCACATTAGCATATAACATAATTTTTGATAAAGTTGTGACAGAAGTACTACATTGATCAATTTTCAATTTCAGGGACCATTTTGATGTCGCCGACACCGATTAATTTCAGGGACCATTTTGATGCTGTGGGTCAATTTCAAGGACAAAGGAAAAAAAAAAGAAAAAAAAAAGAAGACTTATGGGGGCCTATTTATGTGCCACATCAGCACTTAACATAATTTTAAACAGAATTGTAACAAAAAGACCACATTGATTTGCGACACCTATTTTCAGGGACTACATTGATTGATTTTCAATTTCAGGGACCATCTTAATAGTGATGGTCAATTTTAAGGACCATTTGTGATAAAACCCTTGATTAAATCAAATTGGACACCAATCAAGTCCGAATCAAGCTAATACCAAATCAAGTTCTTTCACTTGGTTTACCAAATTATTTGATTTGGTTCAAATCAAATATCAAATCAAGTCCAAGTCAAGCTTTGGTTCTTTTATCAACTAAATTATTTGGTCAAATTATCAAGCTAATTGATTTAGTTCAAATAATGCCAAATCAAATTCAAATCAAGCTTTAATCAAGACGATTCACGGAGACAAACTCAATAAATCAAGGCCCAACAAATGAATTGATTCAGTGAAAAGAATCATTGAAAGACCTATAAATACAAGGCTTCAAGAGAAAAATGTGAACTCTAAGACACATGACAAACTCATATGACTTGATAGAACTCTTTGCATTTTTATCACGCTAGTGGAGAATCAACAAGCATAAAGTCTGGCTGAAAGTGCCACCATGCACATCATATTGTATGAGAAACACTATTTTGCTAACTTTGTACCTGAAAATGCACCTCTGACAACCCTCTCAGGCCCATCCAACCTGATAGAATGTGTTGGGCTGACATTGACACTAGAGACGAAAGCTAGGGGATCAAATGGGATAAGATACCCCAGTAGTCCTAGCCGAAAACGATGGATACGCACGTGCCAATTCATCCACCATCAAAGTTGAAGATCACCTATCACGTGATACTACTTGGGGTCCCAATTTGTTCAAGATCAAGCCTCAACAACTCTTGAAGAAATCACAAGCCTTATTCAAGATCAAGTGTTCACCACCCTTGAATCAAATTCGACTTCAAAAGAAAGGGAAGCAAGTCCAAACTTTTGGAGAAAACCAGAAAGCTCTTTGGCCAAAAGCAAACACCAAACGCCCAAACACTCATGTTCTACATCAATCTTGTGGAGAATGAACAAGCTCAACTAATACACATGTTGGTTCATCCACACGAAAATTGAAGACCACCCACCACGTGAAAATGCTCATGGTCCTATTTTGTTCAAGATCAAGCATCGACGGACCTTGAATAAATCTCTTCCCGATTTAAGATTAAGTGCTTGCCACCTTTGGAACACTGGACATTAGAGGAATATTCTTGTAAAATATAAACTACAAAGATTGTAAGCTTAAACATTTATGTAATACAAATATTATTCTACATATGTGTTCTTATTTCATTG